TATATCATATACTGCAGGAATTTAAGAACATTTAAGAAGATGTCAGACAGACAACAGGACAGTAGACTATGGTGTGTAGAAGCCAAGAAAGTTAAAGATGCTATTCAGTTTCTACTGAAATGGGAGAAGGAAGATAAAACATAAGTCAAACAGTAAATCTCAGGATAAAAGTATATTGCAGCACACTGACTAAAGCCCTCCCTTTTTTTCCCTCTGTAATGTGGCTCTAACCAATATAGTTTTTTTTTTTCACTCTGTCCTTAATTTGAGGATTGAGCATTCAGGCTATCATGCTTGACACCACCTGAAAGAAATTTCTTAGGAAAAAAAACTGCTTGTTTATGGATTTTGTTTATAGCATTAGCATTATTTTTAAAATATGCCACTGAAACTTTCAAATCTCAAGGTTAGTTAGAAATGTGCAACATCATAGAAGCTTACAAGTTTTCTATTTTTTTTCTCACAGATTAGCTTATATGAAACATATTGATGAGACCAAGATCATGAGTTAAATAGATGAATGGCACTATTAGCTAGCTTTAGATTGTTACCCTACTTTCACCTAGCCTCTGGAAAATGTACATTGTAGTCATATACGGGGAAGACAAGAGAATGGGGATAGATTACTAAAACCCAAATTCCATTCCTAGTAACCAAGCATGTATACATATGGATCAGAAATATCAAAACAAAAACACTGTGGATGCCAAAGACATATCCTTGTTTCTAAAAATGCTCAAGACAGCATTTGGATATTTTTACAACTGTCCTCCTAGTTCATATACTAAAGTCTCTGTAGTCTAATATTTGATTTTGCTAGGAACCCCAAGGAGTCATTCTGTGGGTCAATGTGGTAATCCTCCATGTGTGCCTACCACTAGCTTTTTCTTCCCATCAATTTATCTGAACTTACCAGTTTATACTAATCATATAAAACCCCATTTTTAAGGTTTGAAATTGAATGCTTCCAAGTGTTTTAGGGTTCCAAGTATTTCAAACAAGCTGTGACAATGAAAACACAAAATGAAAACACAAAAATCATACATTGATTTAACTTACACTGGAGTGTTTTTGTGTTTTCATTTTTTCTTAATATATTTCATGGTTATACTTTAAATTGGTACAGGGTTCTATTGTCGCTCTACTGTTAACTAGCCATATGACATTGAATACATTTCTTAACCAATTGTTAAATTGATATTCTCATAAAAAACATGTTTGGTACCGTCCTGCATTGCAACGTTTACATGAAAAGTGGATGTAAAGTGCTTAGAAATACTGTGTGACATTATTCCAAGTATAATTTTCATATCACTATAATAAAAGACTTATTCTAGATTTCCTGTTAAGTATATTCTGACTCTAAAAATCTTCTGAATTCAACACTATGATTCCTGTGAGATGTATATGGTACCTATAAGGTACAGTGATTTAGAGGTTTTTTTCTATTAAATACTGTTTTATTTTTAAAAAGCATGTGCAACCAAATTGTGTTCTTAAATATATTTGAAATAGGAATTTTTTTTCTGAAAAAAAAAGATAAAAAAAACTGTTTCATAACAATTCAAGGTTTAGAAAATGTAGACAGTTTTTAAGTGGGATCAAAGAGTAAAAACCTTTTAAATTGTAATCAAAGCAACAGAATTTTGGTGTACATAAGAATCTACCTTGAATTTTTGAGGGAGCTGACAAGTGACTTGTTCCCTAACCTAGATAAGTAAATGCACCTGAAATATGGCAGAAAGAAAACATTTCTGAAATATTTTGAGATTCCCAACCAAAGTACCAATCACATTTTCACATAAGAAATACTGAGGTCATAAATTGGTGGTTGTTGGTCCTATCCAGTTAAATGTTTTGCTAGTTTGCTAAATGTTTAATAAGTATTTGCAACAATGTTTAAAAATTAGGAGATTTCACATCAAGTCCAAATTTCAGCTCCCCTTGACAAATTTGGCAGTATCAGACTATTCCCAGACCGCAGTTTAGCTAGGGCTGAGAACTGATGTCCTATTCAGATGAGCAGTCCCTACTACTGCCTACTTCTTTCCCTTACCTGCCCAGGCACTATAGGCATTTAACTCCACAACTTCAGTAAAATAGCCACTGCAACATATTACATGTTAAGCTGTCCTATTTTGTCATTAATGGGCATCAAGAAGCAAAAATACAATTGCTGAGAACTGAGGAAGGCAACAGAAGCAATCCTGTTTATATGCAAAGGACAGTAAAGAGTATTTTTCTTTTGTGAATATTATTCTTTTTAAGTATGTTCAACCTGCCTCATGCAGGTTGTGGACGCGTGTGGTAGGAAAGGTAGGAAAAATAACGAAAGATTTTATCTGTCTTATCCAAGACTATAGTAAACTGATAGATGAATTTTCAAATGCATAGATTTCTGAAGGAAACTAAAACAAGAAAAGGTAAAAGAGCCCAAAAAGAAAGTGTTTTTCAGCAGACACAAAGTAGTAATGCTCACTCTCACTCAAGTGGCCACCCACATACAATCAGAATGCTTAATTTGGACTGATAACGTTCGTCTGGAGATGCCAAATAACATCATGTCATATAGTTGTAAAATACAGTAGATTCTATTCTGTTTTGCTATCTGGCATCTGCTGGTAGAAAAATGTTGCAACATGTTCAATCTGGCTAATTAATCCAGACTCATGTAAATAAAATGGGTGGTGTCTAGCTCCTGAAATGTGCCTAGGTCTAAGAACAGGAACTGTTCTTGGGCGAACTTGGATGATGCCAATGGTTCTGGAATACTCTGCTAACAGACCCTACTATTAAGTTAGTAGAAAATAAAACATTCTACTAATGCAAAATGCCAGATGGCTAGGAGCTGCCTTGGTATCTGCTTTGATAACATCAAGACTCATCTGTATTTGAATTGCAGGGCCCACACAGCTTTCATCAACAGTCCTCAGGGTGCCAGAAGTTGAAACTCATGAAACTATGCTGACATCAGTACACTTTGTTGTAGATTATATTGCATCAGCTCCAAGTGTAGGCAAAATAGCAGTAACACTTTATTAAAGGAAGGCGCTCTTTGTCACCTGTCCAGGGCACTAACATACCTGCACAGACAGGAAGATTAAATGGTAAATTTTTGTAGGACACCATAGAAGGGAGAGTGTGCTTAAAAGTAGGATGGATTTAACTAGCCACTCATGGCATGGGTAGATGTAGTTGGTTCTGAGAATGCTTAATCATGATTGGAAAAGTATGAATACTGTGAAATATTTTTGTAAAAAATGTTAAATTCAGTTTAATCGTGCCTCTAGACCAACTTCTGATTTACAAGAAATAAGAAAAAATGAAACATTCAAAAAGGATTCCTGGTTTGAACTCTTCAAAATGCCAGTGTCATAAGGAATAAAAAAGATGAAAAAGTTCTAGATTAAGGCTAATGAGTGACAACAATCAAATATGATACATGAATGTTGACTGGATCCTGATTTTTTTAGGAGGAGTATGGGGAGATGGTATAAAGGATATTCTTTGGTCAAATGTGAAAATGTACATACATACTAGATTTTAAATACTATAGAATTTTATTTCCTTAGTTGTAATAATAATATTGTATTTTTGCAGAACTTTTTAATTCTTAGGAAATACATGTTGGAAATTTTAGAGTTATAGATGTCTGCAACCTATTTCCAAATGGTTTGATAAAGTGTATAAGAAGGGATGAAATAAGTATGGCAAAATGTTAACAACTGTTGGATCTAGGCAAAGAGTATATGAATGTTTATTGTATTTTTCAACTTTTTTATGTATAAATATTTTTTAAATAAAATATTGGGGGAAGAAAACATGTTGGAAAGACTTCAGAAGGGAAGTCTTAAGAAAAGACTGAGGAGTAGGGACTGTGCTGAATTTCTGACAAACTGAAGTTCCACAAAACTTTTCTGGCAGTGTCTTTGGCAGGAAACACCCAATTTATTCAATCTTGGAGTATTTACCAAAATAATTATAATATGCAGGATAAAATGATAGGATAGGCAGATGAATCTGATACAAACCATTCTATTTAGGTGTAAACAAAATAGTGAGGCTAAGAACATAAGCAGCTGTTACATAAAATAGCGGTTGTTATAAAAGAGGTACAAATAGCTAAGCTCAGAGGAAATTACTTCTTGCTGAGGAGAATCTGCCAACACATCTCCAAGGAAAACTAGGACATGGATACAGAATCAGAAAAGGCTGGTGTTTCAGTGATTAACCTTGGAAGAAACAAACGGTAGTTGTTTTGGCTGGAGCACGAGTACTAAGGAAGCAGAAAGAAATTAAGGCTTTAAGGTAGGCTTGCACCCTTGTTGACTGGCTGGGTATAAACAGTTTTCAATTTACCTGAAAGTTCTGGACTTTTTTCCCTAAGCTTTAGGCATCCAACCCGGTATTAAGATGACTGACAGCTCTTGACCGAAGCCTACAGAAGGAAATGCTGGAGATAATGTATGACAACGCTTGTCAAGAGCCATAAAGAAATAATACGGTATTTTTACGAATATTCACAAGCATTAAATTGTTTAATAAACCGTAGACATGCAGGATTAGAACAGTATACCTTCATGCAGAATTGTAGTCAATGCTTACAAATTCCGGAGAGAAGAAACAAAAACAAACAACAAACGGGAGAAAACAGAGAATGTGAAGATAGGAGGCGGGTAAATAAGACTTAAAGGTGGGGTCGCGGTCATCTTTTTCCTTTATAGGTGGGAGTGGAAAATTATTTCCTCAAGCCCCAAGACTCTCCGTCCTACAACACTCGGGGTGAAACTACTTAATAGGAACTTAGGGGGCGGGGCGAGGAGCTCCATCTTTTAGGAGTTAGGGGCTCCGCCCTGCGACAGGCGCCGGCGACCCTCCGGTACAGGTTGGCTGCAGCCAACGCGAGAGGGGCCGGTCAAGCGGCCTCGCCCCACTGGGAGCCTCAAAGGGGCGGAGGAAGGGCGGGCCGTCGCCTGCCCAGCCCGGAAAGAAATCCTTACCCGAGCGGAAGAGGCTCCAAGACCCGCTCGCCCCCTTGGCGCTCGGTCTTCGAGGGACTTCTGGACAGGCCGGCCCCACGCGTTGAGGTCGAGGGACACTCACCGCACTTCACGACTCCACGCGGAATGGGCATTCTCTGGGACATAGGGGGCGCAGGTTATTCCCACCCTTTGGCCATGACCCCCATTAGAAGTGCCAAATGCAACTTCCGGGAAGGACAGGGATTTTCAGAACCCTCAAATGGTCCACCTATGTTAAGTGACCAGACGTCCCAGAAACTTTTTTCTCCCCCCCAACCCGGGCAGGTGGTCCAGAGTATGAATTACCTCGTCTAACATGGAATGTCTGGGCACATTTGGTCCCTTTTTGGGCCTACTTACAGATACATCTCCCAGAGAGCTCAGCTGTTGCCCAGGGCAACCGTGAAATTGCGCGAAGGGAAATGCGTCACACCGGAGACCAGAAGCCTGGAAACTCTCGTTGCCATTATCGGTTATGGCTGCCTTAGCTTCAATAGTAACTTCCGATTGAGAGTTGTCGCTCTACCCGGCAGGAGGCTTACTCTGTGGCCTGGCTAGCCATGGGCACCCAGTGGGAGGCTGAGAAGGCGTTGAAAAGCCGAGCAAGAGAAAAGGGCGGAGAAAGGGAAGTTGGCGCCAATGCCTCACTCTGGTTGGGCAGCGTTGAGGGCGCCAGTGCTTCACTCTGATTGGACTGCGTAGATTGCCCTGGCTCCACCTGCTTTTCTCCCCCCGCGAGTGACGGGCCTGCGCCCGAGGGGTGGGGCGGGGCGGTAGGAGTGAGAGTGTGTGGAGGGGCGGCGGGGCGGGGCGAGTGGGGGAGGGGCGGGCGGGGGGCGGTGGTTGGGCAGCGTCGTTTCGGAGGAGGAGGAGGAGGAAGGAGGGCGAGCGAGGAGGATGGCGGAGTTGGGGTTCTAGACGGTAACCGGGGGCCGCTGAGGTGGGAGGGTATCTGCTGGTCGTTTCTTCCTGCCTTCCTGCCCGCCCGGCGGTTGGGCTGGCAGTCAGTAGGGGGAGGCCCCGTGCACCCTGACAGGCTCGAGCCGGCGGGGCCGGGCGAGGCCCCGGGAGACGGGGCCCTGGGAGGCGCCGCCGCCGCCGCCGCTTTCCTGGGTGCTGTCGCGGGAAGGGCTGGGCCCTCGGAGCCGGCTCTGGTGCGGGGCCCGCTGCGGGCCGCCGAGAGCCAGCCAGCCGGCTCTGACAGCGGCCGGGGCCGGGCCTGCGGTGGCGGCGGCGGAGCGGGTCAGCGCTGCGGCTACGGCGAGCCGGCGCGAGGGCGCGGGCCGGGGGCGCCTGGCGGACAGTCCTCCCCTCGGCGCCCAGGGGCACCAGGCCTGGGCTGCGGGGTTTCCCGTGGGCGTCCGAGGAGGCGTGTAGAGATCGTTGGCGGGGGCCCTGGCGCAGAGATAGTGGTACGGGGTGGGGTCTTTCCTCGCCACCTTCCCAAAGCCCCCACGGTTTCCCAGTCTTCTCTACCTTCGGTGAAGAGTGGTAAGTCGGCTTCGGGTGTGTACCCTGGTGAAGTGAGTTGTGGGCATCCAAGACTGCCCTGTTGGACATGCCTGGTGTCAGTCTCTTTCCGCGGTAGCTTTTAGGGATAGAGGAAAATGGGAAAAGTACTCTAAAGCTCCTCGACTTAGCGGCCGCCCTCTCTCCCCACGCCCTTAGCACTAGAAGCTTCAGAACAAAACGATTTTCCGCAGCCCCTCATTATCCATTGTTTTGTACCATCCCCCTCCTCCGCCTCAAGTCTAAGTAGAAGAATAATGACCCCAAACCATTAATTGGCCCCCCCAAACACTTTAAATCATTGGAAGGTTTGTATTACTGTGTTAGTGTGGATTTACGAACAGGTGAAATGAATACTGATTCGGGAGTTGGAGAGAAGACGCGCGCGCGCGCGCGCGTGCGTGCGTGCGTGTGTGTGTGTGTGTGTGTATTTAGGCTTTCAGCCCTTACAGTTGGTGATTTGATTTTTTTGTCTGTTGCTTTGTATCCTAATGGGGGCGATGAGAATAAAAGAGGAAGCAATGTTTTTCAATCTACCCAAAGAAATGTTTTCTAAGTCTCTTGGGATGCTGAAGCAAAATTGGGTTGCAGACGTGGACTGCATAGTATTTGCATCCATCATGATAACTACCAACAGTCTGTATCTAAGTTTACACCTGTGCACTTTTTACACTTATTCATAAATGTCAGAAGCCTCTAGTATCTACTCAGAGGAATACTGTATCGAAAACATTTGTTTTGTTATATTTTTCAGAATTCTGGGGTCCGCAGTGTAACGGGGTATTTTTGTATATACTTGTGTAGCACCAATACTGAAAAATTCTTAAAGACCTCAGTTGACTAGTGTGCAGATAGATCTCTACGTTCACCATTCCATACCATGGCCCTTATATCTCTTTGTTGCTGTGTATTTGAAAAGACTTAGCTGTTGGGTACAATTTGTAGCATTTAGTAAGCTTACATTTATAGTTTGAATTTATGAAGTGTTGATGTTTTTTAAGTGACAGTGACAGAAAATTTTAGAAATAAAGTATGTAAATGACCATTCCCTGCGTATGGAACTTAGACATTATGGTAATTCTTTTAAATACTTGGTTATAAGGTATACTGTAAAACAATTATTTAATTATGAATTTACAATTGAAAAATGGACCACAAATAAAGGCTTTGTCTAAGGTTAGTAACTTTCATATGGCTTAAATGTAATAAAGCTAACATATAAAACCATATTCTTGAAGTGCCAGTTTCAAGGTATGGACCTGGCCTGTCTCTATAAGTTTACTACTTTTTCCCAAGGTGTTTGTTCAGTTTTTGAAGAAACAGCTACATTGATTTCAGTCATTTGTTTTCTGATCTCTCATTGTTAATGCGATTTTCAAGTGTTTAAGTTTTTCTCTTGTTATAAATTGTTGTGGGTAAAAGAGTGATATTAAAAGAAACAGTTAGCTTGCAGCTAGATTACTTTTTAATTTTTAAGTCACCATATTCAGAAGGTTGATGAGAGCTGTTTTGATAATTGCAGCAAGTGAAACTCATACAACAACTTTTGAACTACAAACCAGTCAGAAATATGAAACATTTCACTTTTAAAAATGAACACCAAAACTATAAATTCTTTTGTTAATACTTGCTGGAATTATGTGTTTAAAATATTATGATTTCTTCAATGACTTGGGACAGGGATTGTCCCATGTTCAGAGAGATATGAACTGAAATTCTATTTGGAATACTAACAATGATGGCTTCTGAATGGCTGCTGGTATATATTTTACCTTGGTTTACCCATTGGAGTGTGGGGGAAAGGGTGAATAAAATTGGAATTCTTTGTTATCCAGGCTTTTAAATTGCAGTCATACTTGTTTTGAAAATATGCTGGATTTTTACTATCTATTGTGTAATTTAGTATTTCTGTAAGACTTTTGAACTTTAAACAGTTTAAGTTAATTTTGTATTTCTTCTAGTAAGATATTTAAATATACAAGTAATATGTTGTGTTTTTTTTGACTAAAAAATATACTGTAACCTGTATATGCTGATACAAGAATGAATCTCTTTTGGAGGTTGAAGATAAAATGAAAGAATTTATCTTTAGAATTCAGTTTACTGATCATTCATGTATTATTCATGTAAAGCATAAAACCTAAGCTTATAACAAAAAAAACCCAAAAGAAGACCAAAAAAGCCCCCAAAATAATAAAAAAGCAACAACCAAACAAGGTGACCCACAAATCCTTCAGTGAATTCTGCGTTTTATAGCTTTGCCTTAGTAGAAGTGTTCTTGAACTGGTTTGTAAAATATAAATTAGGAGAGAAAATTTAAATATAAAATAACCACTTTGACATTTCCTAATAAGATTAGTAGGGAATTGGTAAATATTTTGTTATAGATGTATCAGATAGAAATTGGCTGTAATTTAGGAGCATAGTGATACATTAAGTACTTTTATGTGGTACTTACATGAGTACTGGAAATATTAAGTTGGTCACTTTTTGCTGATTGTTAGACTTAACATTTTATACATTAGGCATATGATAACTTAAGGCTAAATCTTCTTTAGACTAAAATATATACATATAGATATGTAAAATTTGCTGTCCCTGTCTTCTGCATTTTATTTTGTTTACTTGTTACACTGTGTCAAAATTATGCCCTATAAATCTTCTGGAAATGTTTTCTTTGTGAATCTGGTAGGTAAAATTTTGTATTTTCCCACCTCTCTATTTACATTCACTTTTAAAATCTGGAAAATTTCTGAGTTATCAGGTGACCTATTGTGTGCTTGAATTTGATATGGAGTGTTCTGAAATGAGATTGTCAATCAATGTAGGTTGAAAGGAACATGAACAAATCTGAGAAAACTGATTTATGTTCTGAAATATATAATTGCATTATTTTAAGGTAAGCTAATACTCATTCTAACTTTGGTATTTTCCCCTAGTCCCCTGCTTTTTGCACAGAATCTTTAATTCAGAAAACCAAATTTCTAACACATGAAAAGAATAGTCTAATTATAGAGGGCTTTTCAGGTTTTGAGGCGTTGTGCTTTTGGAGAAAGTATAAAGTTCCCCATTATCAGATTTAAAAGAACTAATTAGATTTCACACTTTATGTCTCATTCCAATTTCTCTAAATATCAGAACTGATTGCAATTAAGTAGGGCATGCTGTAAAAGGTAAGGGTTCCTTTATGGGAAAAAATGTACACATTGCTTGAAGCTAAAACATTGCATTACAGACCTTAAAAGGGTATAATTGGTCCCTGTGTGAAACGAAAGTCTTATGAAGTATTTTGTCATGTCTACTAATGTATACAGCACTGTGAACACTCAAATTTAAGCACTTTATTGACCTCAAATACTATTTACAAATCCTACAGTATTAATTTCGCAGTTGACAAAGATAAATCTTTTCTTTGAGTTTTTCTAACATCTTGGAGGTGAAGTGGAAATGACTTTTTTTGATACTGATCATGTCTACAATTTGGAGTTAATCAGTTAATTGTAGGCTTTCTCAGCTTCCAGTTTGAGTTGTACAATATCCCTTCTGCTTTCAAGATGTTCACAGCTTTGCAAATGGTCTTTAAGTTAACTTAAATTTTGTTCTATAAATACTTCTTACTGACTACAGTTACATATTCACTAATGTCATAGACCTACTGAGTGCCATGTATGTCCCAGACTCTGAGGATACAGAGATAAATATTTTGTTACCTGCTTTCACTAAGTTCACAGTTTCTTCCATGAACTGGAAAAATCAATAGTTAATTGTTTTTTAATGTGACAGATGCTTTCATCGCAGTGTACACTGAAAAACTAAGATGAGTTAAGACTCAGACTGCATGTATAACCAGCGATGCTTCTTGGAGGTTAGGACCTACACTAACTCTTGAGGCATAGAGTTGATAGAGGGTAGAAAAAGCACAGAAGTTAAAGATGTTAAGGTCCTTTTGGAGAACTGCAGGTGAATAACAATTTGGATTACATATATGACCTTATATTTTAGGTAATAGAGTAGGCTTCCATTAAAACTTGGGTTTTTAGGGGTTGTTATTTCTTATGTGCCTAACTTAATTTGGTCTCGAACTGTGGATCTGCATTACTGTTAGAGAGTTGCTCCAAATTATTATTTGAAACTTTTAACTATTTTTCATTAATATTAATGTAATAAAATATTAATAATATTTTTCATTATTATTAAAGGAGAACATATCAGCCTAATGTGGAATAATTCCCAGGCTTAGAACTTGAGTAATGATAATATGATTCAAAATCACATTCAAATATCTTTTTCTCAGCATTTGTATGGCATGTTAAGAGTAATATTCATGAACTTCAGTAGAACTCATGGTTAAGTTTTATTATATAAACATTTAAAATTTACTCTTCTGAGAAATAGAAACCACCTCTTTCCATACTTATTACAAAGTGCCACTCTCCTCAAGCTAAGTCAGACTGTATTATCAGCAGTTGTATTCTGGTAGAAGTCTTATATGATTTAAAAGTACTCTGAACTTGAATATTAGATAATTTTTCATACTGTATGATGTAATATTTCTTTGAGAACACAGTGAATGAGGTCTTTTTGCCATCCCAAATCCATTCCCCACAGAGTGCCATAGGTCCATACATAGTTCCCCATTTTTAAAAACATTCTCATACTACTTATTTTTTTTGTAATCATTAATCTACAATTACATGAAGAACATTATGTTTACTAGGGTTCCCCCTTCACCTAGTCCCCCCAACAAACCCCATTACAGTCACTGTCCATCAGCGTAGGAAGATGTTGTAGAATCACTACTTGTCTTCTCTGTGTTGCACAGCCCTCCCCATGCCCCCCCTCCACATTATACATGCTAATTGTATTACCCCCTTTCTTTTTTCCCTGCCCTTATCCCTCCCTCCCTTTCCCTTTGGTAACTATTAGTCCATTCTTGGGTTCTGTGATTCTGCTGCTGTTTTGTTCCTTCAGTTTTTCTTTGT